GTGAGGGGCTCTGACGTGTGATGGTCTACCTTGCTTAAGACATAAATGTTTCTTTATTCAATATCTTTCTTTGACTGAAACTAAACAAGTTGCATCACTTCAGTTTTCATCTTAGGTCCTTTTTCTCTTTTACTCCAGGGCACAATATCATTTATGCTTGGGCTCTTTCTCATATTCGTTCGCTGGCCAGTTGTGGGTATCATTGTGGAAATATATGGATGCATTATTCTCTTCGGGTGAGCACCTTTTGGATAGTTACCGGACAAGTTTTCTCATATTTCTCTTCTCATTTGTCTTTCCTTGAGTAACAGAAGTTTTTGACACTGATCTTTTCCCTGCAGTTGTTTCTGGCCATCCATCAAGGTTTTTCTTTTCCAGATTCCTGTATTTGGATGGATTCTGCAGTATCCTGCTCTGGTGAGTTAATACTTATGTCTATCTCAAATTAGTGGCTGGCTAAATATGGCTTCATTGGAGATGGAAGGGTATTTAAAGCTTCTGCAGCTCCTTCAAGCCATTTTTTCCTTTTAAAAGGCATCTAATTAAACTGATACATGGGGTTGAAGTTTTTACCCAAAACGAGGGAAGTGGGCTTTGTCCCTTGATTGGTTGTGTTAAATATTGTACAGAGGCATGCCTGATTTTCATTTTGCCTACGGTCATGTTTCTTTGGTTTTTGTGCTTCTCATTGTTGGTTCTTTTGAGGTTGTTAGAATGGAAGTTATTTTGTGGTCCTTAATGGTCGTCTGAAGTTGCAATTTTGTCCTCAATGCTTTGGGTTGTGCAAATCGCGCTCCTATATGATTAATTTGTGCTCAAGGTTCCTGGTTTTATCAGATAAATGGCCATATTTTTTAAACTCACATTTGATAATGGTTAAATGGCATACCATAGGGCGCCACTTTTTGGTTACGGTCAAATTTATGTCATAGTCTACTCTTTGGGAATAGAAACTTATTAAAGCCATTACGTTGGTGTTATGTAGTGCCTTAAACCTTCCAGCAAACCTCACTTTATAAATCCGAGTCATGTATGTATTAGAACTCAAGAGGGGCAAAAATTTTATATATCTATAAGAACAAGAAAGGTAATGGATCTTTGATCTGGGCCATGGCTAAGAAGTGGCCATTATGGTGTAACTTGGGGAAAGAAAAAGGTTTAGATGATTGACAGCAGCATTTATTTTAACAGATATATGTTTCAGTTTTTGTATCAAATGTATCATGCTAGGTTCTAACATCTTCCCCTTTGTTTTCAGCTTCTTGACCGCTTTCGTAGCTGACTGATTGATTTGTCTACTCCAGTTATCCTGTTTGAAAAGGAGGAAGAATATACTGAGCTAGCTAGGATGCATCAAAGTTGTTTGTCATGTAATGCAGATTGTTGTCACCTTGATATCTTCAAATGTATATTATATTATATCTGTAGATTAGTATTATGACAAGCATTAGTTCTTAACTAGCAATTCTTGTTCTCAAGTTTTCTTATACTGTCTCCTGTTTCCTATGCCATTTCTAAGGAAAAACTTTTTGACATATTTGGTTGAGAAGAGGATTGCAGGTTTTTCAGATGTTGATATTTTGTCATTCTTAATGAGTCAGTGAAACAATGGTGTTAGCATATGTCATACTGCCTCAGTATATATAAGAGAGGATTTTACTTGGTACTGTTCAAGAAAAAAAGATTATGATCATAATAAGTCCAAACTTGTATCTCTAACAACTGCCCTATATTCCCTTCAGACATAACCAAATATCAAAACCCATGATATCAGATCATGCAATTTTCTTTTTGTTTTTATTTTTATTATTATTGTTAGTTTGTCTTAGAAAGAATGCTACTTTTTATTCTTGTGTTGCTATCCACATCTTTAGTCCACCGTATCAAGTCGTACAATGAAGCGGAGGGAGTATCTCTTCTTTTCCCAAAAGAATGTCATATTCTATATTTAGAGTTAAACTTTAAAAGTCATATTTTATCCTATATATTTAGCTTATTAGTCAATCACGTTATTGGTTGCCTGCAATCTCATCAAATATTATTACCTGTAACCACAATATTAAAGATATTTATTTGATAGTGAAACTAAAAAATGAGGAGGAGGATTTTGTCCTCAGATCGCTCATAATGATGGGACCTCTTTTATCTATATATATAGTCAAAAGCCTTGAAGGGATGTTGATCTTACAACTCCATTTTCCACGGTATGTATAATAATTGATTATTACTATGGGGGCATTTAATTTGTCACTTTGTGCATCATTAGTCCGACAACTACTTATATCTCACATTATTAATTAACCAGAAAAATTAAAGATTTCAAATGAGTATCTGATGGATGGCGATTAGTCTTCCTCCTCTCTAAAAGATGTCCTTAGCTAAGCTATTTTCTCTTCTTTGTTTGAATAGTTTAGAATGTGATAACAATTTAAAAAATAGTTAATCAACTCGATAGAGTATTATTATTTAATTTGGTCCGAACATTCCTCAACAAAATATCACTTGAAGTTTGGTGTGAATTGGATGATGCATGATAACACACAACTGTGATTATAATAATTAACCAACTAGCTAAGCTACTACTTTTGTTCCTAATGATTATTTCTCTAGCGTCCTACAACTATGCAGTCTTGTCCCTACTATTTGCTATTATGTGCTTCTTGTATATTTACCACTTGTTCGGGTCGGGTCATTATAGAATATATATATATATTAGGACCATTATATAGAGTGACCAGTACCCCTTTGTTCTTTTCTTTCAAATTATTAAAGAAGAAAAAGATTAAAAGTAGGCCTAGATCATTATTGTTCATCTTTTGGATTGATATCTTTTTATTATAACAAACAAATGAGTTAATACAACAAGTAGCACATTATAATCCCACTAATAGTAGAGTATTGCTTATTTCTGGAATTTCGTCATCAATCTTCTATTCAATCATGTATTAATTATTAATTAGTTAATTACTGTAATAAAAAAGGACTAGAAGTTGATTAGAAAAGGCCGAAAAACCATAATTATGTCTACACCTAATTTGGTGAGTTAAAGTAACAATCTAATTTGTATACATGGGGACATGCATATTATAGTGAACAATACAATGATTGACAACTGATATTGACAGAGTCGGAATTTTCACTAAAGAATCAAAATATGAAAGGATCTTAGATTCTTGAGGAACAGTTACACTGATACATTCCATTCTTATAATTCCGGAACCATGCAAGCTAATATCATAGGTTCGATTGATCAATCTATCTTCAATCTCCACATGTTACCTTGTGATAGATCCAACTGTCAATTTTCCAAATTTAAAGTGATAGAAGTAGTACAGTCCAGCAGCCACAAGTGACCAAATTAAAGGAGCAGTTGAGTTAAAGTAATAGTCGAGATGCTTTTGACTATATGTGAATCAATAATACAGTGAGTTGGCAGGCGGCTATTATAAAGGAAACAATGAGACAAAAAGTTAAAGGGGGAATGGAAACATCTAAAAAATGTTTTTATATAACAAAGAAATATCAATTGCTATGTAGTAATTTGTTTCAATCTGTATATAACTCACATGTACACAATATTAGTGCTAGTCAAACCTATCACATCTTGGCATTGATGTTTGCCACCAACTTATTATATAAATATAAATTTGATGCATTTTTTTTTACCCTCCCTAGCTTCCACCTTTTGCTCCCCTTGGTGACTCGAACTCGCAATCTTCGAGTTAAAAGTGAGGGGTGTTTACCATCCAAGCAACTCCCTCTCGTCAACTCTATTGATGCATTATATTCTAATTAATTAAATATTTTATTTTCATATTGATCGATTTAACCATTCAAATTAACTACAGTATATATAGTTTAGAAGAGGACAACATGTAATTAGTTGTTAGTGGATACACGATCTCAAGCACATGCATAGATATTTTGTCATTCTATGATTGAGACATACTTTAATAATTACTAATATATGACAAAAATGAATTCATTTATATGTATTAGGTCGATATAATACAAAGTAGTAAATGTTAATTAAATCTCCATGCCTTGCTGACGTAGTGTATACGTCAAAATTTCAATTTGTAAATGGATCCTTATATTAATTTTTCATGCATAAAAATAAGTATAAAAAATTCCAATTATTGAGGACAAAGAGGCTGCTACTCGTCAATTCATAAATCATAATGTAGGGTTATATACTTTTTCAATGTGGCATGTGATATGTGTTTTGGCCTTTGGGTTTGGGACCAGCAACCAAAAGCAATTAGCAACGAACCCAAACAAAGCTAGCTAGCTATATACAGTGACTAACTTGAGAAAATGTTAATGCCAAACGAGAACGACACCAACTAGGCATTTTCAACCTAAAATTATGATATTTTTAAAAGAAAATAGTATTTGAAAAAAAGTCGAAAATAGATATCAGTAGGATGTTGAGTGATGTATCTAAAATCGAGATGCAATGTATCGGAACGTTGAGAGATGTATTCGAAACTGAGACACAATACACGAGACATTTTAAGATGTATCCGAATTCCACCAAATTTAAGAATTTTTTGTAATTTGGAAAAGATTAAGAATATGATGTAATTAGCTAATAACACTACACTATGAGATTTGTGTTAAAAAAAAAAAATGCCACAAGAATTATATGTCAATAAGTGATTATCATTTCTGTAAAAGGAAAAATTAGATAAGGAAAAAAAGCCTATCCTAAAAGGAAAATTAGAAACCAACTAATGTTATATATGAGTATATATTGTCTACTTCATTCACCGTCTTTCCTTTCTTACATATTTATTTTTTCTGAGGTTTTTGGGAAATGATGAAAGAGAAATATATATTTTTAAAAGAATAGATTAATTATCATCACATGCTATCAAGAGGAAGAATCTATATATACTAATTATCATGAGGATTGTATTGATATTCTCCATTCTTTATCGATCTTTTTCAGGTAAAGAGAAAAATTAGAATGGAAAGAGTATAAAATAAAACCAAAGTGAACAAAAATCATCTCTTTATTGATTTGGTGCACAAAAGCACAAGTAGGCACTAGGAGACAGCCAACAATAATTAAGAGCAAACGAATCAAATTGCAAAGCCTATACATAATAATAATAATAATAAATTACTATAACGAAGCAACATATGAAATTGTACACTAGATGTATAATTACTATTTCCAACTAAGCTGTCGAAGCCACTTTCCACGTACGTGAAGACACACAGAGAACAATGTGTAATAAGGAAACCAGAGAAGTAGAAGTAAAGTGGTCCAAGTCACTAGGAATCAACCTCTCAATTGCAAAGTTGAACTTCTTATTAATTGCATTTGACCATGGAACTCTTAATCTTCTCCTCAAGAACCCATCACTTATTTTGTGACTGAAACTGAAATCTGCAAAACAATATATTTATAATAATTAGCTACAGACCTTTATCTTAGGTAAAATTAACAAGGACATTTTAAAGTATAATTCAACTTACTTGAGTGGTTGTGGAAAATGGCCAAGCTTTTCGAACTGCTTAGTAGTGGACTGGTGGTGGTGGAGAACCGTAGATGTATACTGGAGGGGGAGGTGATTTTACGGGTGGGGGAGGTGAGCTGTAGTAGTATGGAGGAGGAGGAGACTTCACAGGTGGAGGAGGAGAGTGGTAGTAGTAGGGAGGTGGTGGTGATGGAGATGGGGGTGGTGGTGATTTGTAGTAGTATGGTGGAGGAGGAGACGGTGATGGTGGTGGTGGGGACTTGTAGTAGTATGGTGGAGGAGGAGATGGCGATGGTGGTGGAGGAGACTTGTAGTAGTAGGGAGGTGGAGGTGACGGGGATGGTGGTGGTGGTGATTTGTAGTAGTATGGAGGTGGGGGTGATGGCGATGGTGGTGGAGGAGACTTGTAGTAGTATGGTGGTGGGGTGGTGGTGGGGATTTGTAGTAGTATGGTGGAGGAGGAGATGGGGAAGGTGGTGGTGGGGATTTGTAGTAGTATGGTGGAGGAGGAGATGGGGAAGGTGGTGGTGGAGACTTGTAGTAGTATGGTGGAGGAGGAGATGGAGATGGTGGGGGTGGTGATTTGTAGTAGTAGGGAGGTGGAGGTGATGGGGATGGTGGTGGTGGGGATTTGTAGTAGTATGGTGGAGGAGGAGATGGGGAAGGTGGTGGTGGGGATTTGTAGTAGTATGGTGGAGGAGGAGATGGGGAAGGTGGTGGTGGGGATTTGTAGTAGTATGGTGGAGGAGGAGATGGGGAAGGTGGTGGTGGGGATTTGTAGTAGTATGGTGGAGGAGGAGATGGGGAAGGTGGTGGTGGGGATTTGTAGTAGTATGGTGGAGGAGGAGATGGGGAAGGTGGTGGTGGGGATTTGTAGTAGTATGGTGGAGGAGGAGATGGCGATGGTGGTGGAGGAGACTTGTAGTAGTAAGGAGGTGGAGGTGATGGAGATGGTGGTGGAGGAGATTTGTAGTAGTATGGAGGTGGCGGTGATGGAGATGGTGGTGGAGGAGATTTGTAATAGTATGGTGGTGGAGGAGATGGGTCTGGTGGTGGTGGAGACTTGTAGTAGTATGGTGGAGGAGGAGATGGTGATGGTGGAGGAGGAGACTTGTAATAGTAGGGAGGTGGGGGTGATGGAGATGGTGGTGGAGGAGACTTGTAATAGTATGGTGGAGGAGGAGATGGCGATGGTGGTGGTGGAGACTTGTAATAGTAGGGAGGTGGAGGTGATGGTGATGGTGGTGGAGGAGATTTGTAGTAGTATGGAGGTGGTGGTGATGGAGATGGTGGTGGAGGAGACTTGTAATAGTATGGTGGTGGTGGTGGGGACTTGTAGACGTACTTAGGTGATGGTGGTGGTGGGGACTTGTAGACGTACTTAGGTGAGGGAGGTGGTGGAGACTTGTACACGTATTTAGGTGATGGAGGAGGTGGTGATTTGTACACGTACTTCGGTGATGGAGGTGGTGGTGACTTGTACACGTATTTAGGTGATGGAGGAGGTGGTGATTTGTACACGTACTTCGGTGATGGAGGTGGTGGTGACTTGTACACGTATTTAGGTGATGGAGGAGGTGGTGACTTGTACACGTACTTTGGTGATGGAGGCGGTGGTGACTTGTATACGTATTTAGGTGATGGAGGAGGTGGTGACTTGTACACGTACTTTGGTGATGGAGGTGGTGGTGATTTGTACACGTATTTAGGTGACGGAGGAGGTGGTGACTTGTACACGTACTTTGGTGATGGAGGTGGTGGTGACTTGTACACGTACTTTGGTGATGGAGGTGGTGGTGACTTGTACACGTACTTTGGTGATGGAGGTGGTGGTGACTTGTACACGTACTTGGGGGATGGAGGAGGTGGGGACTTGTACACGTATTTTGGTGATGGTGGTGGAGGAGATTTGTAGTAGTAAGGAGTTGGGGTTGGCTTAGGCTTCATGCATTCTTCATATGGAGTTTTTGGAGCATAAGCAAATGGTTTAGCAGAGAGCACAACTTCATAATGATTCTTTGACTTCACTTTGAGGTTAGCACCCTTGATGCCCCAATGAAGATCTGTGGGGATGTTACATTTTGAATCCTTTGGTGCTTTGTGGAGTTTAGCCTTGCATGCATCTGCTCCATATTTGGCATAATCAAATCCTTCAACAGTGATGCTATACTTTCCATTAATCTTAGTGGTACCATAGCTCTTGATTTTCTTGTCACCAACCTTGCATGTTACCTCAACAACAGCACCTATACCATGTGAAAATTAGTTACTACTTAATAATTGAGTCATATAGACATATGTTAAGCTTATTTTGCCCACTAGCTACAATAACCAACTTTGTGTTCCATCACATGATTAAAAGTTCATTATCCACTGACTCATGTTTTTTTCCTCTTTATCTAATAAGTAATTCAAAAGTCAAGAATCTATCCATCTGTCTTCAATTACTCCTGTTAGTGAGCCAATGAAGACTCTGTTTGGCACCACTCTGTTTTTTAACCTTTTTTTTATTTCCACGAAATTTTATTTTTATTATTATTATTGTACCACAAATAATTGCACAATCATGTAAAAGAAAATCATAGTATATGATACCACAAATAATTGCACAATATATCTCAGGTTTGCTTTTTGTATGGCAAGCATAATTAAGTGACAATGTTTTCTTACTTATACTTTTGATGTTTTCTCATGATATATTCGGTTGCAAAAAACTCCTCCAATGGTTTTAAAGCATTGTTTAACAAATATATTTAGTGCATTCATCAACTTTCTTTTCTTTCTCATCTTTATGCAGGGGAATATAATTAATATAACAAAGAGTTTTCGTATTTTGAGCTAATTCTTTAAAGTAAGGAGAACCACATACTTAGGATAAATATACTAAGTAGTATAATTTAAGAACTCAACCTTATAATTAACTCTCTATACAAGATTTTGCTTAAATATCACTTTCATTTTGAGGAACAAGTATTAATAGTCCTTCACTTTCACAATAAATATAGAAGAATGTTGATTGACACATGTTAAATAAAATTTAAGTCTCTAAATGCATTTCATGAATGAATAAGGTGGTGCCTTCAAATTCAAGCATGTATCATGTATGGTATGTTATTAAGCAGGGGAGATCCCAAGATCAGCAAGACACATTAATTTCGAGCAAAGAGAATAATTAATATATACACAAATAAAGATCTTACTGAATATAGTTATTTATGAACAAAAGATAATGTAATTAGAGAAAATGTGTGTTAGAGGTGAGTAGTAATACCTTTGAGGTGCTTCTTGTCATGGGATTTCTTTGGGTATTTCCAGTCATAGCATCTGTAGCAATAGACTTTTCCGACAACCTTAACGATCAAGGGATGATGAGGAGGATAGTAAGAAGTAGGTGGTGGAGGGGAAGTGTAGTAGTATGGTGAAGGAGGTGACTTAACTGGTGGTGGAGGGGAAGAGTAGTAGTATGGGGGTGGTGGTGACTTAACTGGTGGTGGTGGAGAACTGTAGTAGTATGGTGGAGGAGGTGACTTCTTGGGTGGTGGTGGCGAGGAGTAGTAGTATGGTGGTGGTGGTGACTTCTTGGGTGGTGGTGGTGAGGAGTAATAGTATGGTGGAGGAGGAGACTTAACTGGTGGTGGTGGAGAGCTGTAGTAGTATGGAGGTGGAGGTGACTTCTTGGGTGGTGGAGGAGAAGAGTAGTAGTATGGTGGAGGAGGTGATTTCTTTGGTGGTGGTGGGGAAGAATAGTAGTATGGTGGTGGAGGTGATGGTGAAGGTGGTGGAGGAGACTTGTAGTAATAAGGTGGAGGTGGTGATGGTGAAGGTGGAGGTGGAGACTTATAGTAGTAAGGTGGTGGTGGTGAGGGATCAGGTGGTGGAGGGGACTTGTAGTAGTAAGGTGGTGGTGGTGAAGGTGATGGAGGTGGTGGGGACTTGTAGTAATATGGTGGAGGAGGCGATGGTGAGGGTGGAGGAGGTGATTTATAGTAGTAAGGTGGTGGAGGAGATGGTGATGGAGGTGGTGGAGACTTGTAGTAGTATGGTGGTGGTGGAGACGGTGAAGGAGGTGGTGGGGACTTGTAGTAGTATGGTGGTGGTGGAGATGGTGAAGGAGGTGGTGGGGACTTGTACACGTATGGTGGTGGTGGAGAAGGTGATGGAGGTGGCGGGGACTTGTACAAGTATGGTGGTGGAGGAGAGGGTGATGGAGGTGGTGGGGACTTGTACACGTATGGTGGTGGTGGAGGAGGTGGTGGAGGTGGCGGGGACTTGTACAAGTATGGTGGTGGAGGAGAGGGTGATGGAGGTGGTGGGGACTTGTACACGTATGGTGGTGGTGGAGGAGGTGGTGGAGGTGGCGGGGACTTGTACAAGTATGGTGGTGGAGGAGAGGGTGATGGAGGTGGTGGGGACTTGTACACGTATGGTGGTGGTGGAGGAGGTGGTGGAGGTGGCGGGGACTTGTACAAGTATGGTGGTGGAGGAGAGGGTGATGGAGGTGGTGGGGACTTGTACACGTATGGTGGTGGTGGAGGAGGTGGTGGAGGTGGCGGGGACTTGTACAAGTATGGTGGTGGAGGAGAGGGTGATGGAGGTGGTGGGGACTTGTACACGTATGGTGGTGGTGGAGGAGGTGGTGGAGGTGGCGGGGACTTGTACAAGTATGGTGGTGGAGGAGAGGGTGATGGAGGTGGTGGGGACTTGTACACGTATGGTGGTGGTGGAGGAGGTGGTGGAGGTGGCGGGGACTTGTACAAGTATGGTGGTGGAGGAGAGGGTGATGGAGGTGGTGGGGACTTGTACACGTATGGTGGTGGTGGAGGAGGTGGTGGAGGTGGCGGGGACTTGTACAAGTATGGTGGTGGAGGAGAGGGTGATGGAGGTGGTGGGGACTTGTACACGTATGGTGGTGGTGGAGGAGGTGGTGGAGGTGGCGGGGACTTGTACAAGTATGGTGGTGGAGGAGAGGGTGATGGAGGTGGTGGGGACTTGTACACGTATGGTGGTGGTGGAGGAGGTGGTGGAGGTGGCGGGGACTTGTACAAGTATGGTGGTGGAGGAGAGGGTGATGGAGGTGGTGGGGACTTGTACACGTATGGTGGTGGTGGAGGAGGTGGTGGAGGTGGCGGGGACTTGTACAAGTATGGTGGTGGAGGAGAGGGTGATGGAGGTGGTGGGGACTTGTACACGTATGGTGGTGGTGGAGGAGGTGGTGGAGGTGGCGGGGACTTGTACAAGTATGGTGGTGGAGGAGAGGGTGATGGAGGTGGTGGGGACTTGTACACGTATGGTGGTGGTGGAGGAGGTGGTGGAGGTGGCGGGGACTTGTACAAGTATGGTGGTGGAGGAGAGGGTGATGGAGGTGGTGGGGACTTGTACACGTATGGTGGTGGTGGAGGAGGTGGTGGAGGTGGCGGGGACTTGTACAAGTATGGTGGTGGAGGAGAGGGTGATGGAGGTGGTGGGGACTTGTACACGTATGGTGGTGGTGGAGGAGGTGGTGGAGGTGGCGGGGACTTGTACAAGTATGGTGGTGGAGGAGAGGGTGATGGAGGTGGTGGGGACTTGTACACGTATGGTGGTGGTGGAGGAGGTGGTGGAGGTGGCGGGGACTTGTACAAGTATGGTGGTGGAGGAGAGGGTGATGGAGGTGGTGGGGACTTGTACACGTATGGTGGTGGTGGAGAGGGAGAAGGAGGTGGTGGGGACTTGTACTCATAAGGTGGAGGTGGAGATGCATATATGTAAGGGTCAGCAGAAACAATATCAACAACAGCCAAAATGGCCAACAATGCCACTAAGATATGTGGCAAATAATGACGACCCCGGCCGGGGCCGCCAGCGAGAAGCCTCATTGCTAGCAGGGAAATTGCACCACCAGTTCCTCAAATGTGGCTATAGATGAATTAATGTTCAAGACTCTTTGGAAGAGCCAGAAAGGAGGAGGAGGAAGAGAAGTAGTGGTTTTGTTAGACAAGTGATGGCTAAATGAGAAGCAATGGGCAAAATATTTATAGTAACACTATCAGTCGTTAATGTGGAGCTGTCAATTGCCACCAATTCAATTTGTCTGATTGTGAGAATAAAGACTTTTCAAAAATGAACTCTATACAGCTGGACTTACTCAATTTTTATTTTAAAAAAAATAAAATTCCATCACTATGAATTTTCCATTGTCTAACAAGTGGCTACCTGCTACATAGATTTATTTACAAAAAGAATACAACACAATTAATTATTATGTAATAATGGGGGGGAAAAAATCTTGTTTCAACTTTATTTTTCAATTTTCAATATATTAGAGTACGTACTTAATAATTTGTATGGGTTTGCCTCTATTACTAATGAGATCATACAGTTTGGTCTTTATTGTTGTCTTCTATTTTCCTAGCCGCCGTGGTGGGGTTGGGGTATCCTATGAGATAAAGGTTGGTAGAGTTGCCTTTAATTTGGATATATTTTCCAATTTCGTGTTCAAAGGGATTAATAATGAGCCTTACTTTTTAAATTTTTTTGGGTTTTCTTAGAGTTCCAACTAAATTCAAATTTCAGATGGCAGGGCCATTCAGAGATGGATTCCTAATAGCATTTTCTCTAAACACATAACTCAAACCCGAAACGTCTGGTTAAAGATGAAAAGTCTCACTCTTCCACACCACAACATGGTAAAGCATTACTTATTCATGTGACTAATTTTTTATCTTCATAGAGAAATTAAAGTTAAATTCTCTCATCAAAAGCCAACACAAGAATCTTCTATATAGCCAATGCACGTGCGACCGCAAATGGTTAAACACATTAAAGTTAAAATACACCACCTTCACCTTTATATTAATGTTAAGATATGGTAAATATTGAATAAACTAAACAATAGATCTTTCAGATTTTTAGGCAATAATAACATTTGAAACTCATTCAAGTTAAGGCATATATAATATGTGATATGCATACATTAATTCAGTTTACTGATTTGCAACTTAACGGTCAAATTATTTGTTTTGATGTAAACAAAAACAAAAATATTTTCTTGAAAATAAGCCGGTGTGATATCGGAGTGTATGGTGTGTTGAATGTTGATGGCAATAGAAAATTTATTTGTTTGCCAACTGGAAATAGTCCACAAGAAACCTTTGAATAGGACATTTAGTTTGACATTAAAACATCTCAAGAATCCCAAATGGAACTCTCTCACCGATTTCCTACATATATATACATGATAAATAATAAATAAAATTAGAAAAGATTATTTATATTAATGTTTCTTCATTATTATATTAATTAGAGAAGCATTTTGTTCACTTGAGAGATAACTTAAAAAATAATATTCCCGTATATATATGTTCAATATTCAATGCAAGAAATTATATTATTATAACTTGTTTAAAGAGACTTGGTATGCACTACTACTAATTCAAAAATTACAATACCGCGTTTATTATGTAATCTGAAAGTTCCTTTTATTCATGTTTCTTTATTAGTGCATACATAAATAAATTGTTTATTTTATTTTTCATTTTTGTATTTTGTATCAGAAAGAGAATGACTTGGTATAACCTACTTCTACTAATTCAAAATTTACAAGCCAACATTATTTTAATATATATACTTAATTAATTACTAATTAGTTGACTTTACTTTGCTTATAAACCGTTACGCCACTTTTTTTACAAATTGTTTAAGTGATCTGTAAACCGATGAAACTTTCCTTTCAGAAATTAAATTTCCTTCTTCTATATAAAAAAAATCTTCCTTTAATTAAAAATATATGTTTGCAACAGGGATAACACAATCTGCAAAAAAAAAAGACATGGTACGTTTTAATTATTATTTAAATATACGTCCTTGTAAAACTAAAATTAATATGTATTAAAATAACGAAATTAGACAGACTTGAGTTGTAATTTGGGAGAAGTTGACTGAGTCGATAACGTACTCTTTCTCTTCCAATAGGTAATATGTACGTTTATTTTATTTTCATGCATATTGTATAGTTCAAACTGAAAGTAATAAATTTCGTAAATTTGATTCTAGATCCACATCTATTTTCAAGGATTATCATTTTTTTTAAAATCAAATTATTTAATCAAGAATTATATATGCGCCTTTGTGATCAGATCCCACTACTCCTCCATAATGGAAGACTTTGTTATTGTATATATATAGTTTTCTTTTCGTTATATATTGAGTGTAATGTAATGTAATGATATGAGTATAATTTTTGAAGGTGCATGTGATATCAATGATGAGCTAGGATCAAGTGCATGTGGATCTAAGTGTCAAAAAGCAAAGAAACACGTGACATACAACAATTTATTAACACGATAGAAAGAGGTAACCAGAAGTGCATTTTATGCCTACCAATTACCATTTTGTTGTTCCATCGTTTTCAAACAAAAATAAATAAAATAAAATAAACTCTTAGTTTCTTACGTTCCAAATTAAAGCAAGTCCCCACTCCCCACTCATATGTATATAATATATATCATTGTGAGAATTATTATTCGCAAGCAATCCTTCAATACAAAAAAATTAGGATAAACTACCTTATTAGTCATACATCACTACTATATATACTAATATTATCTCTACTTTTAAACAATTACATAGATTACCACTTTTAGTATTTTATATCATATATTAATATATTATTTAAAAATATATAACGTATGAAATTTAGATACACATAATTAGATGTATATGCTTCTTCTTTTTGTATATTCCATATTTAGATACACATAATTAGATGTATATGCTTCTTCTTTTTGTATATTCCATATTTAGATACACATAATTAGATGTATATGCTTCTTCTTTTTGTATATTCCATATTTAGATACACATAATTAGATGTATATGCTTCTTCTTTTTGTATATTCCATATTTAGATACACATAATTAGATGTATATGCTTCTTCTTTTTGTATATTCCATATTTAGATACACATAATTAGATGTATATGCTTCTTCTTTTTGTATATTCCATATTTAGATACACATAATTAGATGTATATGCTTCTTCTTTTTGTATATTCCATATTTAGATACACATAATTAGATGTATATGCTTCTTCTTTTTGTATATTCCATATTTAGATACACATAATTAGATGTATATGCTTCTTCTTTTTGTATATTCCATATTTAGATACACATAATTAGATGTATATGCTTCTTCTTTTTGTATATTCCATATTTAGATACACATAATTAGATGTATATGCTTCTTCTTTTTGTATATTCCATATTTAGATACACATAATTAGATGTATATGCTTCTTCTTTTTGTATATTCCATATTTAGATACACATAATTAGATGCATATGTTTACTATGTATTCGAGATTCATGTTTTTGGATATAACATATGCAATTGATACTTGATACATCAAATTCATACTAGATACATATAAAAGATACATGAAATTAATATTAGATATATATATAAATAGATATATAAAATTAATACTAGATACGTATAACAAATACATGAAATTAATGTACTTGTATGACACTCATGTATCTAAATGTTTAGTTTGTTGGATACATCATATATTGATAATAGATACACCAAATTAATGAATTTATTATTTTAAGAGTAATAATTTGAAATTAATCAAATTACATTACCAAGATATACATGTTTTTATCTTATATTAATAATATTAATGAATTTACTATTTCAAAGAATAATAAAATGAAATTAATTATCTATGTATTTTGAAAAATCCTCAATTACTCCTCTAATTAAGGAAATAAGTTACAACCAATTAATTTAAATAAATAAATTTTGTATCTCAATTTTAAAATTCGACAGATACATGTATCTCATGGATTCAGACTCATGTATCCTAATCATGAAATATGGTAGAGGAAGTAATATTTGAAACTATTGGCAATCTTAGTTATTAAGATCTAAACTAGTGAGATTTATGTGATTTGCCCAAAAAATTATCAGTTTCAATGTACATTTTGATCATTTAATCTATAATATTTAATTTTTCTCAAGATATACAAATTTTTATTTTTATTATTAAACGGATAATAAATATAAATCTTTTGTATACATTGTTTATACAAAAAAACATAACTTTAATTTCGCAAACTTTTAGTGCATTAATAACGAATAACATGATTTCAAAATTATAACGAAGAAATAAACAATAATTCTACGTCTAACGGTCTAAACAATAGTCTAATTTTAGTGCATTAATTAAGCTTGAATCTACGTGCCATTTCTGACGGATGTAAGTTTGAGTTTGAGAAAGAATATTCAAATCTTGAAACTACGTTTAAACATTAATTTTATTTATAAAAACAATTGAAATTTTATGAACTATACACAGATATAATATTAGTTTAATTTATTTCTTGATCATAATAAATTATATTTTATTTGAGGTAACGGATATATACTAATTTTCACGTTCCCCAGGCAAATTGCATACTATTGTTTAACTTATTCGATAACACATACATATACTTTATTCATAAATCTAATATGTTTTTCATCTTTAAATCCTTAATCAAAAGTAACTATTATATACTATTTCTCTTTGTGTTCCCACATTTACAAGAGAGCAATTTGTTCGAATCGAAATAATCATGTACAATAACATGCAAAAATTCATAAATGGACGATATTAGTAAATTAGATAATAAAGAAAAATAACAGTAAATGACATATATATGAACAATTCACTAGTTAAAAAAATGGCAAAAAAATATCGAGAATCTCCCACTCTAAAGAATTGCATTGCGAACTCAAAGGTTATGAGTTCGATTCGGGAATAAAAAGGGTAGGAATTCCTAAGAAAGGATTTAGAAAAAGTTTTTTTCATAAGAGAGAAAAAGAGGGGATTCAATTTATAAAAGTCTAGAGTTATTTCCTTTTAAAAAAAAAGACAAATTATCATAAATGTTTTGCGCTTCCGTGAAGAAAAAAAAAATGCAAATAAAGTAAGAAAATTATGAATTTTTCATCCATTGGTTCAACATTT